TGCAGAAGCCGATGTCCTGAGTTTCCCATCGCACCAGCCTCCGCTGCGCCATCGGTGCATCGCAAAATCTCCTGCGGTGTGGCTTCCGGCGCCTGCTTCCTCAGAAACGGGCGATGTTGACACGGGTAGCGGCCGCTGTCATCTTGGACCTGCGACACTCGCGCTGATACAGGCGGGTCGCCGGGCGCAACACCTGGACAACTGTACAACATCGACCGCATCTTCAATACCGCCCAACGGACCCAGCCGCCTCGCTGCTGTCGAAGCACGTCACTCCCGAAGCCACACGGACATTAGTTGTTCCCGGTGCGTGTGCCGAGAAGAGACGGTGAGCTGTGAAACCTCGTGTCCCAACCTCCACCCGGCCAATACCCCAACGCGCATATCCGCGGTATCTCCCTTTATGCCAATAGTTATTCACTGTGTACCAGAGCACAGAGGTCCTGCGTCCTGCGTCCGTTGCTCGTCGTGTGGTCTTAGTCCTGCAGCAACTTAGCGGCTTTGTCGCGCAACGCACGCATAGTCAGGCACACTGCCGACCACACTTACTGGGTACGGGACGGATCGCGCGCTCCATATCAGACTGCTCGATGATCTGGCACCATACGGGAAAGTATGGGCTGCGAACATATGCACACGATACGCCTTTGACGACGAAGGCGACTCTGAGGTGGCCACGTTCGCCTGCATACAACTAATCCACATGGGTGCGCTTGTGCCCAGCGTGCATTCGCCCAACACATACACCCACTGCCTATGCCCATATATTGTCATCCTCCACTAATGTGTTGCAAAATGCGGGCACTAACTGCCAGCACATCAAAAGCCTCTAGACCTCTACCTGGGGCAGCCTTATTTGGGCTTGTCACAGTGTAAGCGGTCGACTCTGCCCGAAGGGTCCCGCTGTACTTCATCTGCAGACCAGGGCACCTGGACCCAAGTCGTCCTTCAAGGCTCTCACGTTTCTCGCTCTGTTACGCTCATTCTCTTTGTTTGTTTTTTGCACATCGTCACAAGCCCACACGAGGCGAGTCTACAGTCGCTGCAAACATCTAACATTCCTCGAGGACGCTTTTCGTTGGTCACGCGCCGACCACCTGTACGCAATGCAGCACGCCTCGAACTCGCCGTGGCGGACGCCTGCGATGCAATATCCCAAACCCCAATACAGTCTCCAGCACACCATATCCATGGTCAACCTCCGAGACGATGATCAATCGTGGTACAACAACCGCGAGACTGCATCTCCAACAGTCTCGTCCGCCTCTTCCGCCACCAGCCGAAGTACAACGCCCACAACAACGAACAACAACCCGTGGTCGAACGTAATGGTCAGCCCAGCTTCGACGTATTCCAACAAGTCGTCCGACTCATCGTCGCCCAAAGGCAGCCCAAAACATACCCCGCAATACACCAGCCGATCGACAACGCCCCAGCCCATCGCCCCCCAGCCAATAAGGGTCATTAATCCGGTAGCAGGATTTGCGCCCATGTCACCGCCTCCCTCAGCTTCTGGTGAGTCGTTCAGGAATGGCGATTACCCGGGGTCACCCATGAACCCATACCGACAACCTGCTGCTCCCCTTGTTCCGTTGGTAAACGGATACATCAACACATCAATATTATCTTCACAAGGCCAGTCTCTTTCCGGGTGGTTCTATGAGCTCGTGCGAAAGCAAGGATGGGACGCTGGCCTAGTCAAGAAGATATGGCAGTGGACGTTGTCGAACCCCAGGCTCGCAATCCTCTTGTTCGTTTGCGACGATGTCGCATCATGGCGCCAAGCTTCCTTCTTCGACCTTCGAGATGAGAGCCTGCCATTCCCAGAGGACCGTCTTCAAGGAATCGTAGGAAATGCGCGGAAGGTCGTCGACGAACAATGGCGTGCCACATCCAAGGAACTACCGTTGACGGGAGCACATGTTGACTACACGGCACGTGAAACAGTGCCACTACAGCACATCAGTCTCATTCGATCGTCGCGCAATTCTGAGAAGAGCGTCGACTGGGTTAAGATGCAAGGTAGCAGTGAGGATCGTGTGCTTGTGCGAAAGCGCTTTGTCACTGCTCGCTCCGCTCAAAAAGCTGCGCTGTTGGACCAGATCAACAAATTTAAGCAGTATGAGCACAAGAACATTGCAAAGTTGCTTTGCTCGTACGCCCAGCCTAGTCATGTTGGCATCATCACGGAGAAAGCACAATACACTCTGGACGACTTCCTTGCGCTCCCTGGAAGCGACCCAAACCGCTCGAAGTTGTTGGTGGACTGGATGGGCGACTTGTCGTCCGCTCTTGAATATCTCCATTCGCAGTCCATCTGTCATCGAAGCATCCGACCTCGCAAGATTTTGATCGATGGTGCTCGCATTCTACTTGCTCCATTCGACATTGGGCAGAGCATTGACACGTTCAGTCCGACAATGGCAAACTCTCAGCGCCTGGACCAGTTACACACATATTTTCAAGACCAGTCCTACGTCTACGCTGCGCCCGAAGCTATCGTATCACGCGGTAAGAGAATGGCAGACGTTTTCTCGCTGGGCTGTGTTTTCTTGTCGATGATGACAGTCGCACAAGGCCAGTCACTATCAGTGTTTGCACAGTACCGGGCTGCGAACACTCAGGACGCCTCATACCATGCACATCTCGACCGGGTGGCAAGTTGGCGAAACCGGCTCCACGCTGCCACCACCTCGAACCTCCGAAACGGACTCATCGGATCTGGAAGGAAGCTAAGGCAGTTGAAGGCGGAAGCCGACTGGCTGACCATTATTGAAAAGATGCTGCTACCAGGACCAAAAGAGAGGATCAAGATGCGCTTTGTGCTGGCCAGCCTAAACAGCGGCAAAGCTACAGGCGGAAGACGACGTAGCTTGGACGGCGGCGGTTACAGTGGGCAGGCGGCAGCATCGCTCGGCGTCAACGGTGCAACAACCGCGACGCTAGTCGACATTTCGGAGCATCACGCGCCACGCAAGCCGGAGCTAAGCGTCTTCGATGGTTATTTCCAGACGCAGACCCGCAGGTTAGAACCAGCGGGTGGTTGGTAATCGGAAACTTCGGACAGCGTGTCAAACATGGACTTACGCTGAGGTGATACTTGGCGAAACATGTTAGACATCGACTTTTTGATGGTTGTCGGGCAATTGGCATGCCGAAGCCAACGTTGAGTGTGAAACTTGACAGCTCGGGATGAGACGGAGCCCTACAACGCCTCAGACACGACATCAACGAGAATACGCCGAGGACGTGTGTACGGTGGCCCCAGGCAGGGAGGCCTTTCTTACTTTCTTCATATCTTGTCCGTACTGGATTTGGGTCGGACCTTTGATACCCCTTCTTGCGACCCTATTTGGATGATTATCTTGGTTCTTTCTTTCTTTTCGTTTGCTTCCCGTTTCGTAGCATCTTTATTAGCGACGCAGCATCCAGCGAGCATTTAGAGCAATGATCACAAGTTACCTTTTAGCTAAGAGGAGGCCATCCACGCAACCGTTGAACGCTAGTAATGCGTCTTTCTCTGACTCTGTCAGTCACTCACATGTCCCCAGAATTCCCAATGAAGTTGTGTCCTCGGCTATCAGCTTGGCTCCATGTTCAGGCGCAAAACGGATCAGTCGTTTGCGATCGTGATAGACGAATATGATGATCAAGAGAGAACCTCTCACTTCTGGAGAGGTGTCCTAGTGTTCCATGGCGCTACACCGGTTGCAGTCTGGAGTCGTTGTCTCTCACTTTATCAATCGCATCGACACCGACACCATAGCAACACTATCAAAATACAATACCCAAAAACCAACTCTGACCTTGATCTATTCACGATCGCAATGGCAGACCGCACACCTGCACCCCGAAAGCGCGCCACTCCCAAGTCTACCGGCGCTGAAGACGCACAAGGTCGGCTTCTAGTCAGCATGTTGTTCCAAGTGAGTCTTCCAGGAGCATAACACACATGTGACTAAATTTGATAGGTCTATCTATCTCACGAGGAAGATAGTTTTACAAAGTACAACGAGTTCATGGACGCGGTGAAGGAGGCTGAAGGCGCCGAGATCTTGTTTGTTGCGCCCATGGAACCATTTTTCAGGTACCAACCACAAAAGGATGACGTGGCTTTGCGACTGACAATTCCATAGCTACAAGGTCGATGCTGGCTACCCAGATCCGTTGAAGGAGCTTGTCGACTTCGATACCTTTGTCGACTTTGGAGAGTACAAGGAATACAAGGAGACTGCGGAGCCGACCGTACCGGCGCTTGAGTAGAGCTATGATATCATCTAGATAAGACTTGAACGAAGCCTGAGTGAGGCTTGTACCCAAGACTTACTCAAGCCCCGCTCAGGTCTTGTTCAGGTCTCACCTAGGCATCTATTCAGGAAGTTGAAGCAGGGTAAGCAAGGGCGGCGGAACTGAGGGAAGTCAAAGACAGAGAACACATCAATTGAGTGTAACTAAACAATGTGAACTTGGTGTGAATAGCGAAGTAGAGTGCTCGCTGGCACTTGCATCGTCTACATCGTCGTCACCAATTCCTCCCCCCTCAGGTCGTGCGAACATCTGACGATCAGGGAAAGAGCGGATGCACGAGCGAAATACGCTCGGCTCTTGAAGAGACGCATAGAATTGAACGGTCTGACGATTTGGATGTATGCACGGAATTGCCTTCAAGTGAGCGCGCACTGGAACGTTGTGGTTAACACGGAGATGTTCCTTGTGCGTGGATGGAGGTCAGACCGTGGCTCCTTCCCCAGGACGCAGACGCGACATCCGTTCAGCACCTGACATCATCGACGCGTCGGTAAACAATGGTCACCCACCAAGGCCGCAGTAAGCACTCGAGCACTTGAGAAGCCCCGGTACCTTTCCTCCTCACTTCCACTCACATCCACCCACACCACAATCAAGCGACGTTCTCACTTCCATTGCTTCCCTTCGCATCCCGCTTGCTTCCAACTTCATTCAATCTAGCTCGTCTTTACTCGTCTTCGCTCTTATTTCCAATGTCGTCGTCTCGCCATGCCGTACAATTCAAGGCTAACCTTGCCGTCGCTGCCGGTGTAATGACATGGGCAGCAGCTATGTCACTCGAGCCCCTCAAAGAAGACTTCATCAAACAATTTCTGGACCGACTGGACAAGCCGGTGATCTTTCACAGCCAGACCACGCTCTCAATTGCCGCTCTACGTTACTTCACAAAGCCACTCTTCGCAGACACACACGCTGCAATCTCGAAGGTCGCTGATGCTGACCTGACTACCGCGATGGGTTGGTTCGTTGCCCTTTGCGTCAAGAAAATGCTGCAAACTGGCGCCATCTCTTGCACCAGTAGCCAGCCAGGAAGCATCGCCGAAGAGCCTGCCGCTGGTGGTACAATGGTACCGTCAGTGATGCCGCCAACTGCTCCGGTCCCCGATGACAACTCACGTCCACTGAAGCGTCCTCGTATCGACCATACGAATGAAGAGAAGCTCGGCACCACCACTGTTACTGTTTCACATAGCCTCAGAGCTCCACACGTCCGCGTGTATGTCACCGAGAAGGAGACCCGTATGGTGGATGCGAGTACTCAGTCGGCGCCTGCCTCCCAAGATGAAGAAGACGACCCACTCATTCTGTCGGATGACTTAAGTGAGTACCAAATGATTTCTTCTGGTGTATCTCCATTGACATGCTCAGGTGATGACAAAACACAGCTACTTGAAGTAGTAAATACGTTCGTCCATGCGTACGCCCCGTATGCCGCCGAGAACGAACCGGAGCAAGAAGTCTCGTCTCACCTGGGCTGCTTTCTGACGAAATGGTGCCGCGACATGGGCTTGGACGACGACTGGCAGGACAACAACTATGAGCGACTGGTAATGGTGATCAAGGCCTTATACACAGGAAGTCCGCGCGCGCTGGTGTGGTAATGACCTCGCCAGTTAGGAGCAATATCTCTGCCAATCGAAAGCAACATCGGATCTTGGCCTTGAGTGTCTTCATTGACACTGGTGGACAACTTCGCATGACCGTTCGGTGTGGTGAATGGGATGTTGACGCAGGCCATCATGACGTTATTAAGCATGCTACATCAAGATGTTGTCGCACTTCCTTTCATAATCATGTTGCACTCGTTATATGTAGCTGTTGCCACCAATGAAACTTGCTTTGCTCAAAGTCATTGCCGTTGACGTGCCGCTGATGATGATGATTTCGTAGAGCTCACAATGTATCCGGAAGCGTACAATGTCTAATGCATGTTCAGATGCTACCGTGGATCACGATGACTAGCTCCAGGCTAATAGTTCAAACTACTGTGGTGTCAGCTGCCACGGCCATGTGTTCCTAGGAGAATGTGACGATTTCATCACTATCACAAAGCAAGAAGTTCCTGCACTCGAGCTCGTGAGAAAAGGCCACTTGCGTGTGTAGTAATAACGGTCTATACAGATCTATCCTACAGACGCGAAGCTACCCACTCCGTCCGCACCAGCCAAGCTAGCTATGCAAATCAAGTAGCAGTCACACCCACGCAACGCAGCGGATATCCAAGATGCCTATTCGCGAAAGCACAGCACACCAGAAGACACCGTCTACCCAGCATGCTCCACAATCTCACTAACAAGCTTACCATCCTTGACGTAGCTCCTGATCTGCTCCGGCAACGGGTTCTCAGCGTAGTCGTCTTCGGTCGGCAGGTTGATGTTGATACTACTGCACTTGCTTGTGAAGACCTCGGTTGCTAGCGAGTCTTTGGATAGGTATACGGTTGCGCCGTCGACTTGGTCAAGGAGGATGGTGGGGAGGGTGCCGAGGACCTGCAGCGCAAAGTTGGGACACTTGATGACGTCTACGGAGCTGACTAGCGAGTCGATGATTAGGGATGTGCGGGAGGAGTTGTCGAGTGAGAGCGCGTTGGCTTTGCCGTTGATGCGGATGGTGGTGTTTTTGCAGCGCGAGATGAGGATGGAGTGGTTGATTTCGGCGTCGATTTCGAGCGTCTCGCCTGGGGAGTCGAAGTTGTCCTATGGGGGTGTTAGTAGTGAAGCTATTCTCTTCACCAAGGATACATACTATTATCCACTTGTTTCCATCCAGCTCCTTCTTCGGTGGCTTCTTCGTCCGCATGCTCTCCGGCTTCTTCGCCTTGGGCGGCGCAGGACTCTTACTCCTGAGACTGTCGTTGCTGTCGCTTCGTGTAGGGACCGATGCGCCTGCTCGCAATGATGGGTTCTTATGCGTCATCTGGCTTGGGTCGACCTTCTTGAGCCCCTTTGTAACATCTGAGCCCTTGTTGAGATCGCCAAAGACAGCGTTCATGTCGGGCGCGGCCTTCTTGGCCACTGGTGCGGCACCTGGTGGCGGCGGTGGGCCTGGTGGTGGAGGAGGACCAGGCGGTGCTGGGACGCCTCCTGCCGGAGGAGCGGGTGGTGGTGGAGGAATGTTGGACGCGCCAGAGAGAGGTGCCGAGGTGATTTCCTTTGCGGCATCTTTGGCGTCGATGCCGTTGCTGTTCCAGGCCACACCTGTAGCGTGGTGCTTCTTTGCGTATTCGGCGAGAGCCTTGAACAGCTTGTAGTAGGCCTGCACCCACTTGACGTGGGCTTCACCGTCGGGCCTGAATCTGTTAGCTCGGCCTCGATTCGAATGCCAGCATGCCTTACTTGTCCCGGTACTCCTTAAGCACTTTGTTGCCGTACATCTGAGCTCCTCCGAACAGCTCGTTGATGTGCTCATGGGGCTTCATGCCTCCGCCCTGGCCAATTGTCACCCACCCAAGCGACCCAACACCGTCGGCGACCATGGAGACGGAGTCCTTGAGCGCAGGGTCGCGGTTGCTCTGTCGGAACTCGTCCGTCTTCTCCATGCTCGCCTGAAGGTCCTTGAGCAGCTCCATGAGAGTGCGGTCGTCAGGCTTCTTGGCCTTGTTCGCGATGAAGAGGAACTGGCGCTGGGCAGCGAATGCGCCCTCGACTGCTTTGGACTGGCCCTCAATGACGCTTCCCAGCTTGCTGCTCAGGTCCAGCCAGTTCTTCAGGTCCGAGCTGACGAGCTCATCGAAGGCCTCAATCGCCGGTGGTGCGCTTTCTGCGACGAGCTTGGGGGTGCTGGCGCTTGTGTTGGCCGCGGTCACGCCTGGAGTGGCCTCGGTGGACGCTCCATTGAGGCTGGCGGCTCCATCGCCGCTGCTGGGTAGGGAGGTGCTCGCGATGTCTTCGAGACGCGAGGTGGCAGCTTCGAGCCTGCGGACCATGTTCGTCAGTACATTGTCTGCTGCGAGCTGTATTTGCCCCTGTCGACCGAGGATGTGTGCTTGTTCGGGCCTGGGAGCCATCGTGGGGTCGTTTCATAGAGGATGGGGGATGCGCAGAGTGTGGTAGAATGATAGGTTCGGGTGCTAGTAGGTGATAGTCTCGGACGGAAGGTACTTACCGCTTGATCAGCGTCGTCAGGTTATTCATGTTGTTCGCCATGTGGAGAAGGCACGTCGCAGCGTTTGCAAGGTAGGACAGGTATCTTGAATGCTCGGGGAAGGGGCAGCCGCGGCACGCTGCAGCTCGTGCGACGCGGTTCGGTTGGTTCGGAGTAGAGAGAGGCCGTGATCCAGCAATCCAAGCTCTCGATGATAGGAATATGAGGACTGTCGGAGATATTTAATTGGAAAAGCACAATTGCAGGCAGAACCTCACTGGGTCAGCTCTCCCCGGCGCATGGCCACGGCTGCCCACGTTGCGCTAGCCGTCTGCAGCCAAGCCTGGTCCGTTCGAGACATGCACGTCAGCGGCAGACTATCAACCTTGCGATCTACACAAGCCGACATGGAAACATCCAACATGGCCGACGCAGAACTCGACAACTATGGCAAGATCGACTTCTGCACGCTGGGGATGTTCATCATCGGTATGCGTCAGATATTCTTCAACACAAGCAAGCCACTGAACTTGTCAAGATGAGATTGAGTTTCCCCCACCAAAACCGCCAGTCAAAGACATCGTTGGCGGAGCTGGATCATATTCCGCATTAGGCGCACGCATCTTCTCTCCGCCGCCACAATCAGAGTCCGTGGGTTGGATTGTAGACTGCGGGTCTGATTTCCCACCTGACTTACGCGACTTCATTGCACAATGGAAGACTGGTGCACTGATACGTGAGACGCCCAATCGGCTGACTACGCGAGGTTGGAATGGATATACTGGTGAAAACGAGCATCGAGGTGAGCGTCTGTGTCTTGATTGTGAGTGGACACATGTCTAATCACTGACGAAGCTTTCCGATACTTGACGCCGAAGCTGCGTGTTGACCATGAGGATCTGAAGAATACAGATCTCTTGTGGTCCAAGTCCTTTCATCTGATCTGTTCCCCGTTACGTTGCATCGACCTGGTTGAGAACATCATTGCATTGCGCAAGCAACACCCTAACTCGGCTCATATTCCTCGGCCAATATTCATCTGGGAGCCTGTTCCTGATCTTTGTACGCCAGAGGAGTACGATAATTGTCTGAAGGCGCTAAAGCATGTCGACATTGTCAGTCCGAATCACGGGGAACTTGGCGGCTTCTTTGGCAAGAACACCGACGGGAAGGATCATGTGGATTTCCGAACAATCGAAGAGCTATGCGGTCAGTGGCTACACAGTGGTGTGGGTAACGGCAATGGTGGGGTCGTCGTGCGTTGTGGGAAAGACGGTTGCCTGGTTATGCGCAAAGGGTTAGGCAACGGGTTGCGCAAATGGATGCCTGCGTACCACCAGTCAGCAGAGAAAGTGGAAGACCCTACAGGAGGAGGCAACAGCTTTCTCGGCGGCCTGGCGGTCGGCCTGGTTCGGGTCCCAGGGTATCTCGAAGAGGCTGCGATTTGGGGGTCCATTTCGGCGAGCTTCGCCATTGAGCAAGTCGGTATGCCCATTCTCTCACAATCAGCAGACGGGGAGATGTGGAACGGGGTTCGTGTCGAAGATAGGCTTTCAGATTTCAAGCAGCGCCTGGCTAGTTATATACAGCCATAGTCGCGGTCGCTGTTCCCTCTCCCCCACTCCCAACCAATCTAACCCTCAAGAGTCTTCTCGATGATGCTCTGGTCTTGTTTCCGCTCGTGTTCGCGAATCTGTTTGGTCCAGCTGTCTGTTGTTAGCTTCCAAGTCTGATCTGAGGATATCCGTGTATGTCGTACTATCGGCTGGGGAAGAATCGGTGGCGTTCGGGCATCTTGTCGCGGTACTCGCGGTTTGCGCTGAGCATCCAGGCCATGCCGACGATGCTGCCGAGGGCGAGGCCTACGACGGCCGTGTTGGCTTTCCAGTTGGCGGGTTGGGCGTACCAACCACCGGCCGGCGACCAGACGTGCTTGGGGTATCTAGTCGACGTCAACTCTGCACTGGCAAGCGATTGGCGGGCTGTTCATACGGGATCTTTCCTCCTCCGCCCATTGTAAAGGTGGTTATGCGGGTTCGTGGGGTTGCTGTTGCGGAGCTGCCCTGAGGTCGCTGTCGCATGGTAGGGCTAGCACGGGCCCCGAAGCTTGGCGGAAATTCTTTGGCAGTCGCGATCATGACCTGTGTGAACACACGACCGGCCAATTGCTGCTGCTGCCGACTCCGCCTTTCCTGCTCTGCTGACGTCTTCTCCTACATTTTGTCTTAATGAAGCGGATACCCATATCACGATGCGCCTCGCAATTGCTGGGTGCACCCTCGCCACGCCGGCCCTCGTGCCCATACACAGCGGCAAAGAACGTGCGGAGAAGCATTATACCTCATAGCCACCGGACACAGGCTCGGTTCCAGAGCACAGTAGCAATTCCGGACGACGGTGAATTGGAACTCGAGATTGCCGCAAACTCTGCCACACCGTCAACGTCAACACCCAGACCAAGAAGGCGTCTCCCGCTCGAGAGCCTCCCATCTCCACATCCCAGTGCCGCCGAACGTTCGACAAAATTATACGCCCTCCGCAGTCGATTATCTCTCCCACCTCGCTTCCCCCTCCCGGTTCTCGCACGAACCCTCATCCACCCCTCCGCCGACCCAAACCCCGCCTTCAATAATGCCTCGCTATCAATACTCGGACGCCAGCTGCTGGGCTACTACACCTCCGAGTGGCTTCTGTGCAACTACCCACGCCTGCCAATGGACGTCGTCTTTGCCGCAACAGAGGCATACATCGGACCGAGAGCGTTGACCACAATCGCAAGCGAATGGGGTATCGAGGCGGCGGCGGAGCCAGGTGGTGAAGTCGACCCTGGCTTATTACAATTCAAGAGGATACAGTCGGGCGATGCTCTCCCAGCAGAGTTGAGGCGGCAAGCACCTTGGAAATGGAACATCACCACCACACACAAAATTATGAAGACAGACGAATTCGGCTCCGACAACGCAGCACCCAGTCCGCACGCACTACAGAGCACGCCGGTACCACTGGAAGAGGCAGCTCAGTCCTTTGTCCGAGCACTCATCGGCGCATTACACGTACACCTGGGCTCCCCGCTCGTCAAGCGCTTTTTCCGTGACCACTTCCTGAGCCGACATCTCGATATCAGCACGATTTTCGACTTCAGAATGCCGACACGCGATCTTTCACGGTTATGCGCACGAGAGGGCTTCGAGCCACCGGTTGCCCGATTGATCTCAGAAACCGGTCGTCTGAGCAGACATCCTGTCTTCGTGGTTGGGGTATACAGCGGAAAGGACAAGCTAGGAGAGGGATCAGGCAGTTCATTAGATGAGGCCAAGACAAGAGCAGCGGCAGCAGCATTGAAGGCATGGTACCTATACAAGCCGGTCGAGGTCACCGTCCCAAGCAGCATGGAGGGCGAATTGGATACGAGCAAGTGGCGGCCGAACCACGTCGACCACGGAGAGGTCATTGTGTAAGATACGCGGCCTCAACCCCACTTTTGGAGTTGTAGGGATATACTTTTGGCATGCATGGCATGGATGGACGGCATACTCTTCGCTTGTACAGATTCATGATAGCGCAGGGGGGCAGGAAAAAGAACTGTGTCGGAAGAAGGCCGGAGAGGAGGGGAAGACTTACCCCACGTTTTGCTACGTCGAGGGTTCAGGACCGCGCGCCCTGCGAGCACTGCGCATGTATCATATGTGACATGAGGATATTATGATGATCCGCAATGTGTACAATACAAACGAAACGCTGCATCACAATACCCATTACTTGTTTTTCCGGTCGTGATTCAGAGCTGGAATGTGATGATCTGTAACTTTTGCCCAGGAATACTCCAGTTCAAACTATGCCTTTCGTAGGGAGGAGCACGGATCACAAGAGATCAAACTGGCGACCGTGACGTATTCAACTTACCCTACCTTGGCGATGTTCAACTCGTAATAGCTGCAATTGCATCGTCACAGGATGCGCAAAGAGAACAACAGAGCCCACAATCCAGCTTCCCTAAAACACCTCTCGCATTCTGGAGTAGTTTCAGTCCTGGTAGATAGCGACTATCTAGGCATTGCAAGGGTTGCTGGGTCGGTGGCGGCGCGCATCCTTGCAACTCTTCTCGCGCGGCACAAATCAGGCCCAACACTTCCACGTCGGGTGCGGAGAAGTACGAACCCTTCTCTAAAAACACAAAATCGCCATCAAACATGCCACCAAAGCGCACCGCGACTGCTCGTCATGAGAGGTCCACTGAGGCCTCTGTACAAGCGCACAAGAAGATCAAAATTGAACCAGAAGACCCGCCGCCTGATCCCGTGCCCGACGGCTTGAGAGAAGCCAGAGCAGAGATTACCAGGTATATTGAAGCAATGGAACGAGTGCCACTCCGCCGTCGACTTGATGTGCATTGGAAGATTGGTGGTGTTCCTCGCGGCGACCCCGAAAACATCATTCGCGAACTAAATGTCGATCATATCAAAGAAGTAATGGAGCGCGACGCCCAAGTCAGTGCAGCGTTCGTGTCGCTAAAAAAGACATTGGAAGAAGGCAAGCCCGCCCCGGGCATTTACAACCCTTACGTCAAGCACGGCAAGTGGAGTCTTTTCTCAAGCGAAGTCTTTACGGAATTCCTGCTCTGGAATATCGACAACATGGAATTTAAACAGTTTTGCGTAAATCAATGGATCGAGTTTCATGATCCTGACGCAGAAGTGGATTTCATGGACTGCCACTGTGGCCGCCCGGAAACTTATGGCACTATCGTTGGACCCAGACAGATCAAAGGAGATTTCAAACCGTTTGACTGGCCACAGGAGGCTTCACTCGAGCCCATTGTCGTAAAAACATCGAGTCGATGTCGGGAAATCAAGATGTGGTTCGCAGGAAATGGGTACATGAGGATGCAATGCGACATGGGTTCCGTAGAGGAGCTCGCAAATGGGCAAGCGAAAAGGGTGACTTGGAATGCGATACAAAACACGAAGGAACACAAGGAGCGTGAACAGAAAGCGTTCATGGCTCGTAGGAGGAGGGAAGATGAAGAATTTCGGGTCAGACAAGCGGAAGCAATTAGGAGACGGGAGAGAGAAGAAGAGCAAGCGCGGGAACAAAAGAAGGAAGATCATAGGCTTTGGGTAAAGAAGAATCAGAGGCGACTGAAGTTGAGGCGGAAATACGAAGATGGCGATATTAACAGTTCAGAGCTGGAGCTGAGCACCGACGAAGAAGATGGCGAGGGCGCCACTGATGCGGAGGAAAGTCGCTCTTCTGCGTCGCCTGAGCCGTGGGATTCGTCAACAGGCGAGGAGGATTGGACTGAGTCGGAGTCGGAAGAGGAGGAGTCGGAAGAAGAAGAAGAAGAGGAGGAGGAAGAAGATTCCGATGAACAATAGCCCAAATCGTCAAGGTTTTAGCGGAACATCGACTGATTTCCTCGTTTAGAGCATTGTCTGTACAATATCGCTAGTACTATGACATCATGAGGTCCTCGTAGTCTTTTCAGATGTTAACATATCCATGTAGACGACAACGTAGTAGACTTCCGAGACACATCTGCCTGTGATCAATTGAAGAAGTGCAGGTTATGTAGTCTCCCGCATGTCACATGCGGGCGTCTATTAGCTTCTTTGTGGATGAAGATGAAGATGTAAACAACGCAATATGTTTCCAAACCACACTCGAATTTCGTTGGCAAGATAAAATCAGCACGTGGGACCACGTGCCCGCCACTACAACACCTTCTCTCACCTTCAGGTAAAGGTAGCAGGTCTGATCGACGGGTATATACTCAACCTCGTTAATGACCTATCTCCCAGTCTCCTACACCACACTCGACATCGTTCATAACTCAGCATCGACTAAAACACAATCCTCAACATGGCCGACTTCGGTATAGTACCTGTCATGGAGATTAACTGCGAGGCTCCTATGTCGACACTCTACGCAGAGCTGGACGAACAGGAACAACGCGGTAAGCTTCCTTTCGTCTCCGTTCAATCTACGAATACTGACTGTATATCCGCAGTCACTGCAGGTACTCCAGGCAGCGGCATTAGCACTGGCATTCCAAAGGTGGAAGTCAGCATGGCCAACGCCAAGAAGGTCGGAAGAGTCATTGCAGCGTACTATGGCACTGTTCCCAATGGTTTCTTGGCCACTGTGGTGGGATTGCACGTCGACGCTGCCAAAACAGCCGGCGCCGCCAGGACCTTTCGTAGAATGAAGAGCGACCTCTTTGTCGAGAAGTTCGGCAATGACTCATTCATATACAAGTTCGCTCGCGGCAAGGTCAGCACGTCCGACTTTCTCACATATCAACACAACTTCGCCATCGAGGCGCGCATCTGTCAGTTCCCGGTTGCAAACGAGGACGAGGCCGCTATTGCTCGTCGCGCCGCCAAACGCCAGGCATTACTCGATGCAGTGGCATCGAGTGAGCAGGTCTGGGTCGACACCTACACCGTCGCGTTCAAGAAGGCTAAAAAGGCACACGAAAACGCACGCGGTGTTGGGAAAGTCCGATTGGCACGAACACGCGACCTTTGCGAAGAGCTCATGGCTAACCCGCCCCGTTGCGCCGTCGACGTTACGACGCTCCTGAATCGCCGAGCATGCGAACAAGCAAAGATGATCCCGTTGCTACTCCGTACGATGGACGAGCGCGTCAGGTTCTGGTTCGATCACGTCACCAAAGACACAATCGCGTCTCACCTTGAGGCAGCGATGTCTGTGGTCGACATTCGGTGAGTTTACGGGCATGATCGAGACTTCTTGCAGACTACTAATCTCTCACAGGCGCATGTGCGTCGATGAAGTCGCCAACCCTCCGGATGTCATCCCTCCGTTCCACACAATTGTGGGGAACGTGTTTGCGTTATCTTGCGAGCTTATGCATCGTCTTATCATCGCACCTGAGGACGGCAAGCGTAGGCTGCTGCTGCTCAATGATCGTTCCCTCCGACTGGCAAGCGTCGACATGTCGGGTGATCGGTCCACCCACTGTTTCGATCTCATCCGCGGTCTTCGCAACTCTCTGGACTTTGAGGCAGCAGAGAACGGATCATGGAAGGATATGCCTGTCTTGGTCCCAGAAACTCGAGGCAAGAAGCGCTCAATGCCGCAGGAAGATGAACAGGATATTGGATAGGCTGGTAGGAAATCCTTTGGTGCTGCCAGATGGGAAGATGGAATCTGTAGTGAGGAGTTCGGTCCAGGTGGCTTGGAGAGGGATGGATGACGTCACATGATAGCCAAGGATGGCCTGTGCTGCGGTAGATACGCGTCCCGCGCCTCACAAGTTAGGAAACCACGCGCTATCCTGGCGTTTACATCAACATATCATTACAAAAGTTTATGGCTTCTAGACTATTGTAGCCGTCTAGGTTATAGATGCATGTATGAAATACTCTGAAAAGTCTTGGTGTAGTAGGCAACAGGGAAGAATTTGCCATGATGGATTGTCCCTTCCTCAAAGTCGCTCCGCCGTTGCTGCTCCTGCTTGCACACACCACCTAGGCATGGACGGTTCCACGGAGATGCGGTTTGAGCGAGCACGTGTCTTTCCCACCATGCTTATAGTATTGAGGTGAGAGAAGCACGCGGCATCACGGCTGCCCCAACCACAGCCCCGCTTCCTCCCGTCCTTGGGTAAAGGCAATGGGTTGGATGGGCCGGTATATACTTCAGTTCTACTGCTGACTTGACTTCCAGTCTCCTACACTCTTTTCTCAACGGCATCATTACACTACTCTTTTTCTAACCACATTGTTCGTTCACCACACCCTTCGCCACAATGGCAACAGTCTCAGTGAACGTCCCTCCGGAGATCTGTCCCGAGGTCCCCGCATTCACTCTATGGTCTGAGCTCGTGGAGCAGCAGGAGCGTGGTGAGGTTGACCGGCAATACTGTGTATCTTACAATGCTAACTGTGTATCCTCTGCAGTTCCAGCAAGGTCACCCAATAGTGGCTTCAACGTCAACGACCCTGTATGGCCAGTTACCCAAGATACCGTAATCGCGGGGGGAAGACTCCTGTCTGCATACTACGGTACGGTCCGAAGTCATTCATTCAGAGGTTCCTCCGCGGGAAGTACAGTACCCTCGAGGTGAAGACACTTGCTACCAATTGGAGCTTGGAGGCGCTTGTGTGTCAGTTTGCAGTTCCAGGTGAAGACCAAGCAGCAAGAGAAATCCGAAACGCAAACCGCGAGGTATATCTCCAAGGTATCGAAGACCTCGAGCAGCTATGGGAGCGTGAGTATGCTCACGCTTTCAAGTCTGCTGTTAAGTCTGCTACTGGTGCCCGCGGTCTAGACAAGAAGCGGCTGGAGCGCGCTCGCGAACACTACCTGGCGATGAAAGGCGCGCCCCCAATCTTTGACATTGACCCACCCAATGGTGATCAGTACTGGGTGTCAGCACGCGAGTGCCAACAGGAGAAGCTGGTCCCGTTCATGAACCGGGCCAAGGTTGATCGTCTGAGGACGTACGAGGGGTACTTCACAAAAGACATGGTCGCATCTCATTACAACACTATCATGAACATCGTGGACATTCGGTAAGTGTTCGATTCCGGTTCAGCATGTGGCATTGCTCAGTTTAACTAACATTGTTCAGTTGGCTTGGTGAGAACTCCAACATCCACGGCATCCCCCACTTCTGGTCGATGATCCTCAATCAATGGACAAACACTCGCGATCTTGTACTCAGACACATAACGGACCCTCAGCTCAGCATTTGTAGGGAATTGTTAATAGTAGATCTATTACTCTGCGCGGGCGCCTACTACTGTTAGTTAGACCGGAGCCTTCAGTGCTTCTAGCATATCCGCCAACTCTTCAACGGCCTCGGATACAATGTCGGCTACGGTGAATGGAAAGATATCCCGATTCTGAGCATGGGTCACCGAGGCAGGAAGCGAGCGAGGACCGACGAGTGAAAGGCACGTAGCAAAGCGCCGTTTGAATTGACAGGTGATGGTTTAATGTACGGAGTGGGAACGGACTGAGACGACGACATTGCGTCGGGTCAATGCCACGATATTTTCCTTTATTGCGCGCGAATACTACGACGGAGTTAGCCCCGATGAGACGAGCGAGTGATTTGACTTTGGATGCGACGATCCTTCCCGAGCCACCGGAGTCTTCGCCCATGCACAACCATAATCCCCATCAATTCGCATCGATTGACCTTCGACCAATCTTTGATGCATATCAACATCGCGTTATCGTTCAGCGAATACATAATATGCGGCGGCGAAACACCTAAGTGCAAACGAGGCCGTTCAGCTTGCGACGAGCCACCAACCATCGACGGCGATATCGCGGCGGGAGTCGTAAGCCGGAACTCACCCCGACGAGACGAAATGATGTCCGAGCTGTGACACGCGCTTCAAGTCACCCACAGGATCGGTCGACCACGTTGCAGTATAAGCTCTGGGTGGTGTGCGTTGCTCCATCTACCTGCTTCTCGCAAATGCACCACCCACGACATCTTCATCCCGGTGGGCTGTGCAGCCCATTATCAGTACCATCATTTCTGCCCACTGGCATATGGCGGCGAGTGCGTAGTACTATGCAACCACGATTCCAGGAACTTGTACACACAGCGCACCTCCAATAACCACTATGTAGGAGGTCCTGAGATCCATCACGGTCGTTCTTTGTGGACCTTCGAACAAGTTCGAGTCCTACCATCGCCCGGTTCACCACACAGCGCCCACCGGGTTCAGGTTGCATACGGCAGCTGAACAACGCTCATCAAAAGCTGTAGGCCATCGGGGTCTGATCATGCTCACCAAAACGGCGGTCGAAGTCGATGGAGATGCTGCGGACATGTTGAGACTATACTTTGTCAACAAGTCTAGTCCTACAGGCACCGAAGCATACACATATGTGGTAGATATTGTCATTCTCGTTCGGAGAAACATATACTAACACATTTCTTTACAGGCGTTTTCCCATCTTGCCGATGCATTAGCTGTCATTGGCGTGGCCTTGCTTTCGACGCTTTGGGATGCTACTGCTGACCTCGCTCGACAGTAGCAGACACTGGGAACCTGTGCACGGGGATCGTCGGTCACCCCACATCAGAAAGAGCGGGGATATATTCAAGCAACTATCACACGACGCACAACTTTCTCAAGTCGCTCGAACGCCTCCAGGATGGCTCATGACCAATCACACTCATATCACAGAGACCAATGTATACGTCCAGACGCCGGGCTTTCTTTGATCACTGATCAGATTGTTTTCATCCGTATCTACATTATGAGGAAAAAGATATACTAAAGGAATCATCCAGGTTACTCGCGCCACCAACTCTTCTGCCCCCTAACATCTATCGTGGCAAGTCCAAAGGGTGCAATGTCCGTCTAGTTGTTCTGCTTGTTCTTGCCGCCGGCACCTCCAGCCTTTCCTCCCTTGCCCTTGTGGTGAGGCTCAGGCATAGCCTCACGGTTGTTGAGCTTGGCCTTGCCGCCAGCACCGCCAGCACCTCCGGCCTTGCCTCCCTTGCCCTTGTGGTGCGGCTCAGGCTCGCGTCCGAAGAGCTTGGCCAAACCGCCAGCACCAGCACCACCAGCACCACCAGCACCACCAGCGCCACCAGCAGCCTTACCTCCCTTGCCCTTGTGATGGGGTTCGGGGACAGCCTCGCGGTTGTTGAGCTTGGCCTTTCCACCAGCACCACCAGCGGCCTTGCCTCCCTTGCCCTTGTGGTGTGGCTCAGGCTCACGTCCGAAGAGCTTGGCCAAACCGCCAGCACCGGCTCCGCCAGCACCTCCAGCCTTGCCTCCCTTACCCTTGTGATGGGGCTCGGGCACGGCTTCGCGGTTGTTGACCTTTCGGCCACCAGCTCCGCCGGCAGCCTTGCCGCCCTTGCCCTTGTGGTGGGGAGAGCGAGTGTGGAGGTCGGCCCAGTGAGCGTCGTCCTCCTCCTGGGTGAGCTCTTCGGCCTGGCGGTTGTTGAGCTTGCCTCGGCCACCGGCACCTGCACCTCCAGCAGCTTTTCCGCCCTTGCCCTTGTGGTGAGGGGAGCGAGTGTGGAGGTCGGCCCAGTGAGCGTCGTCCTCTTCTTGGGTCAACTCTTCAGCATCACGGCCGAAAAGCTTGGCCAAGCCGCCAGCGCCAGCGGCTCCGGCTCCAGCGCCTCCAGCCTTTCCGCCCTTGCCCTTGTGATGAGGAGAGCGAGTGTGGAGGTCGGCCCAATGAGCATCGTCCTCTTCCTGGGTCAACTCTTCAGCATCACGGCCGAAGAGCTTGGCTAAGCCACCGGCGCCGGCGCCACCGGCACCAGCACCGGCACCGCCAGCCTTTCCACCCTTGCCCTTGTGGTGACGGGCTTCGACTCCACGGTCTGCAAGTGCAGCAACGAGGTTGGATGTGTGGACAGGTCCGCTTCCCTGGAGAACTGTAAGTATATGACATGCCAAGGATCATCGCATAACTTACTGGCATGCGTGCCTTGACAGCATTGTCAACGGCTTGCTTGTTGTTTGGCACAACGTAGGCAGAGGTTGAGGCACCCAGGGCCAAAAGAGTAAGTGCGGTAAATCTCATATTGAATAAAGTTTAACTGAGTCTGGAATCGGTTGAAAGAATGGATCTGCCAGCAGAGAAGAATGGATGAAACAGAACTGAGCAGGATGTGAGAAGGAATGAGCACGTTCAACGTTGATGCCTTTTACTTCTGGAGCTTCGAGATGCTTTATAAGTCAACTCGACTCCTGGTAGGCACGGCGGTTGCATGCTTGCTCGCTCTCGCCTTCAACTCCTGAGACATGTTGCATTGCCTACGGCACAGAAGCGGAGGTGGCACCCCACCTGCCGCCTGCAGGAAGCCACTGTGCTCGCTTCGATGCGATGGCGATGGAAGGCGTTTGCATGGGAAGCCAAACACAGAAAGTCTTGACGGCCTGGCGTCTCCACCAACGACACCGCCAGCCGTCGACAAGGCCTGTCGGTGTCTCGAGAACACGGTCATGTCCAACCCAGCCGCCAGGCTACGAGGTCCTGCCTCAGGCTCCGCGACAACACCCACCGGGTACCTTTCGCGCATCGCCAATGCGATCTGGAGCTTGCTTTGATAGAGACTGTTGGTCCTCGGGAACTGACCACTCATTTGGTCGAGACTAGTCCAGAAAGGGTTTAACCTCGGAAACCATTGGCGCGCAGCCGCGGTCCTGTTGTTCCAGCCCTGGCAACTTTTGACGTTATTTCCGTTGTTCTGTCATCATGCAGTTGGGACGTTTGTTCCATGTGCGTGTCATGTCAGTGTAAGAATCTCGTTTTGGCTGGCGCGCCAAGCTGAAACGATGGTGCCGAATTATGAACATCCAGTCTTGGCTAAGTGTCCACTTCGAAACCCATGCAACAGGTGAACCAACGAAAAAGCGGCGACGATCCCGTCTTCTGCGTCTCAGAAGGCTTGGTAAAAGCTTGATGCCTTGGAGCAAGGCTAATGTTGCCTGGGCAGATGGAACAAGACGCCTTGGAGAAAGCGGCCTGCACGGCATTGCGGCACCCTTTGAGATGTTCCGTGTTTCGGTGACCTACCCATGGCGATACCGAGAACGTATCGGGGGTCGATGTTAGCAGGTCTACCATAGTCTTTCGCGCCAACGTCTCCCACTTACTCGCTCGCTGGTCTTCCATCCCCATTCACCTTCGTCTTGTTCAAGCGTTGAGCGCAGCATTCTATTCTCTATCGCAGGTCGACTAATCTTTCTTCTTTCAACATCACTTGGTAGTGCTTTCATCTCAGTCATTGTATTCTTCGCGCATTCGAAAACCATCATGGAAAAATACACCGACTCTAGCTCATCGCAGGGCGATGCCGAAAATACCGCTCTTATCACAACACCCTACCAAAGCGATGATAGGCAACGGCGGAGAAGCTACATCTATCTTACACTCTTCAACCTGTTCCTTTTCACAGTGTCAATGCTGTCGTTACTATGTTCGGTCATGTCGCAAAAAGACTACTCGGGTCACTCAGCGGCTAAGCTAATGGATCAGTTCGACATATTCTGTACGCACCAAGTTCTTCATCGCACTCCTCAGGAATACCTGCTGATATGACCTAGCACCTGCAAAGCACGTCGTCGAATACAGCCACACAAAGTTTGAACTACCCAACCCTTTGAACTCTTCGAAGTATGTCGGTATTACCGATGATGTAGAGAACGCATGGATGGATGTCGCATATCGTAAGTCATCAACCCTACCCTCCTATGCCCACGCCCTCTCCACCCAAAGCCCATCACTAACACAGCGCAGTGCCCGACCAAATGGTCTCCATGGAAGACTTCCCCAAGCTACAAAAGCCCGCCGACGCCCTGCAAGTCACCGACCCCAAGACAGGCGAAACAGGCTATCGAGTCGGACTAGAAGTCTTCCACCAACTGCACTGCCTCAACCTCCTCCGCATGTCAACCTACCCCGACTACTACCCCAAGCTCTGGTGGAGCGACACCAACGACAAGCCTGAAAAGGTCAGGGCGCATCTAGACCACTGCATCGAGATCCTCCGCATGAACCTCATGTGTCTTTCTGACGTCAATGTCTTTACTTTCCACCCGCAGGAGGGTAAGGAGGGATATTGGCCTGACTACGAGAGTCACCATGTGTGCAGGAACTTTGACAAAATCAAGGATTGGGCCAACGACAATGCGATGCCGGACCTTGATGTGTAAGCTTAGCTTTCTTGCCGGTTGGAGATGGCGCGTGTAAATAGAATAATAGCATCGATAATGCATCTACAGCGAGTGGAGCAGCACGATCACGTAACAAATCCAATGCTCATGATGAGTGATCGAACGCCGTTGTTGCCATTGTTGCATGCTGCATGTTGTTCACTCAAGCACCTCTTCCCCATATGAAACAGGCTGTTTCAGTTTCGCATCACAGTCCGGGTATTTCGCCCCGCCTACACACCTTTATTATGCAGCATCATGCTTTGTTCTTCCAGCTGCTCGGGCATAGGGCACATGAATCATTGTCGAATTGCTCCAGTTGGTGGCTGCAGCCATGACGTCCTTCCTGGGATGGGCAAGGTTATGAGGACGAATCAGTATGTGCGTGCAAGAGAACCTGCGACGTCGAGTCGCTTTTGCACTCATGTCATGGTAGACCGGCTGAGTGAACATTGTGATGTTACGAAATGCAAGCTTTTGTGAGTCTAAATTGGTATGTAACGACGCCACCAATCCAGGCAAAATATAAACTCTCTAGCGAAATAGTTGAGTAGGAAACCCCAGTATGAATGCAAATATTGGACATCTAGCAATGTCAAGAGTGGGGTATATGTCAGTGACAAGCAGAATAGCCGCCGAAGCAGTCCCCCGTCTTCTAAACGCCGGAAACCATGTCTTCCTCCCTGATGACGTGTATTACAGGTCTAGATCCGGCATTTGTAGATCGTCGCCTGGCTCCATAAGGTTCATGAGATAGCGTGAGCCTGAGAACCAGTCCTGCATGGGATTGGAATTTCCCTGAGACGCTCCAAAACCGAAGCCTGACGAACCAACGGCATCCATGTTATTCATCGCCTCGCCTTGCTCAAACGCGGTCGTTGTGGCTGCAGTCGAAGCGTTGGGATATGTCGTGGGCCATGCGGTATCGGGCATCAATCCAAGCGCACTAAGGTACGGATCGAACTGAGACATTGCGTTGAGGTCCAGCTGCGTGCCATCAACAGTCGTGTAATACCCTGACTGGTTATTTTGCATAACTCCCCGTGATCTCGACGCAGCATCCTGTTTCTTAGCCGTGACGTAGAGCCTGGCAACTCGTAGGAAAAGATGGCACATCTTGTAGAGCTTGTCTGCGCCTTCGGAAATTGTGCGGCAAGATTCCAGGCTACCGACAAACTCGGAAAGGGAGTTTAAATCTGGCTCAACGTCGGACGTTCCGGCCTTTTGGATGGAGTGGCAGAATATCACGATGAAACTGCAGTTATGAGTTAGCTGCGACCGTGCGCTGGAAAGAATCAAGTGGCTTACGGCGTGAACGGTGCCTGAAGAACCGACCAGTGTACATATCCCGACCAGAAGTCCTCCTGGCCTTTTTTGTTGAACTGTGCACTAGCCCTCATATGGGCGACAAGGGCCGCTCTCGAGGATTCGAGGCACTCCTGATTAAAGCTCATATTTCCTGGACTGACCGCGCGCTGTATGAGTGCACAGGTGGAATAGTGCATGACGACATCGGAGTGGAAGAAGATGTCTTGGACTCTCTCGAAAGAGCCTTCAACCAAGAAAGTCAGTGCAGTTCAAATCTCTCCGGCGGTGAAACTTACCCTGAACGTATTCGTTGACTTCTGGTCGTTCTTTACCCCGAAATTTGTGCACATAGCGCTTGTATTGAGACGGGAGTGGTGTCTCATTTGGACTGTTGCCTATTTTGTTCGATCTCGGCGTACCGAGATGATATGTTTGCCCTTGCTGCGAAAAGTCGACGATCGACGCATCCCCACGCTCGTACCAGGCTTGGTTAAGACTGTTGACAAGTTCGATCGCGATTCGCGTGCGCTCTTCCGTCGATTTTGCAAAGGCGGCAGGGCAAAATAGCTTCTCGTATGTCAGGCCCTGGACTCGCGCAACCTTAATCCAGTACGACAAGAAGGCGCTTGATTCGGCGTGCTTGTCGCTGGATACTACAAACGGTAACGATATGTCCCAGTCCTGGAGGATACTTGAGCGACCCAAACGTAGCGAAAGCGTCTTGTCAAGCATGTAGATCATCCAAAAGATATGGATCTTCGTCTGTCTGTCTTCGGGGTTGTCGTCTATCATAGTGTTGATTCGATGCTAAATGCGGAACGTCAGCGGTCGTCTCACACGCATGCTGCACATGAATGCTTACATAGCCCAAGCTCTGACACAAGCCCGCAGCACTGGATATCATAATCCAGCAAAGAGATGGCTTGCACATCTCGACCGCCTGCGCAGCGCCAAGGACCAAAGCCATGATATTCTCGAAAGTTGCGGGTAAGAATATAGCTAGCTGCGACAGTGCTACCTCTGTTTGCCTGCGACTTATGATGGCGTACGATTGATAGTTGGTGGTGTCCATATTGGCTAGTGGCAAGGTCCGGAATTCGTTGAACACGTTCTCCAACACGCCGAACGTGAGCACACGGCGAGCGGCGCTACAAGTTTCTGGGTTGTGATACACATCATAGAAGATCTCTTTGAGATTGGCCATTCTCAAGAACGGAAACACCACTGCAAAGGCCATAGTTGGATATTCTGGTCATGTCAGATCGGCTTGAAGGGTACGAAGTCTGTAGACATACCACTAGCTTTCTCCAAAGCATAGCACGCAAGTTCCCAAGGCGGTCGTTCCAGCTTCGATGGGTCAATATCGACAAGTGACTGGTTGATCAAGGGGTTGGAAGTTGCGGGGTTTTGGCCGTGCTGAGAGACCATCTCCGAAAGAGCAGTAAGTGCCAACTTGACTTCTTCATTCTGTCCAATAGAGGGTGTACTCCCGATCGCTCGTGCCAGCATCTCGCGAGCATAGTCTGACTGGCTATTGATAGAACTCTCGCCCTCGAATGGCGCGGGTGTGGGGGCTTCGACGAGGACACTTCCAGGACTCCTTGAAGGGCCAACTCGGCTCGACCGCGATTGGCTGCTGGATTCGTGCGAGTCTTTCTGGAGGTCCAGACTGCTGAGTTTTGTTGCGAGACTTGCAAGAACATTCTCAATACCAGCTAAGCGGTCTTCAATTCTATCAATCTTCTTCTCGCTAAATCGAGTCAGCTCGAACAAGATTACTCAACGCCAGATCAGCACGATTCGATTGTTTGGCCGCGGGGCAAAGAACGGTCGACGGGTAAGGCTGACGCCACAAGCAGCGAGGTCCACTTTGGAAGCGGTTCAGACGTACTATTCTTCAGATATGTGAACCCTTTGTCGCTGCGCTTTCTGTTGAGGGGGAGCTGTTTTGCAAGCTGCCCGAATCAGCGGCAACTTCAGGTTCAAGCCAAGCAGATCATACTCAATTTGCTTGCCTTGCAGTTAGAACATGGCACGCCTCTGTCGCAACGTATCTTGCGTGTTCGGCAGGCATCGCACTAGATGTGGGTCGTCAACCTGGGCGCTGCTCTGGGTGGCTGGCTCATGCGACTTACCGCACGCTTGGACATGGGTCCATCAAGCGACGCATCCATATCGTCGTCTTCCATTTTGCCGGTTACGCAGTTCGAGCCGCGGTATTCTGCGCGTGGTGTGCAAGAGTGGCGGATATTGTGGACTTTATCGGAGCGCGGGCTTCTCGGAACCCGGGGCTGTGGAAACTATCAACGATGTCATCACTAATAACAGAAATCTCGCACCGACAGGCAGCAGTCCAATATCTCACCAACTAAACCTTCCAGAGTTGTCGAAGTTACAGGGTTTTGAAGTCTAGAAGCAGCATTCGGCCTCACCAGGCATCACTACGAAGAACGCGCGATCTCGTGACTGTGCCAAGGCCCGGGACTTGCCGATTGGCTCGCATTGCTCGTATCCCGCGCCATTTGGGAAATCTTCAGCCGCTTGCGACGCGCCCTCTGATCGCCCTTTTCACCGCGGATCCGGACTTTGCAAAGTCCGGCAAACATGAGCTATGTGCGCAACTTCGACGAGATGGCTTCAGATATCAATGTGGCGCACTGCAGTCCAATCGTCCAAGGACTGCAATACTCACCCCAAACATGTCGACGAGTAAAGAAATGGTCGACACGCCCGAGCAGCGCGCCAGCGATGACGTCAAGACAAGCAAGGCGCCGACAGTCAAAAGCGATGTCACGTCTGAAGAGCCAAAGGGTGGCATGGGTGGCTACGTCGTAAGTGTATTGAACAAATTAGAAGGAACACGATGCTCACGACATACCAGCGCATCTTCAAGTATGCAGATCGTACAAGCTGGATCCTCAACACCATCGCATTCGTTGCAGCCATCGCCGCTGGAACACTGCTTCCGTTAATGTAAGAGACATGCACACATCACGATCTTTTGTCCCCTCCATCAATGTTCGAAACGTGGTTATTGCGCATTGCTAGGTATTGTTTCGTTCATGTGAAATGGTAAACATCAATGGAAAGTTGTCCGGGCCTCGCACTACGTGTCAAGGACGGTCAAAGATTCTCGCAAGACCTATCGTCGATCAATCAATAATCACACACTAACGAATCCTCCATCACACAGGGATCTGGTCTTTGGCAAGTTCATCTCGACGTTCACTGGGTTCGCGACTGGCTCGATCACGCCAGCGCAATATCGCGCTGAAGTGAACAAATACACTTTGTACTTCATCTACCTCTTTGTTGCGAAGTTTGGTCTCGTCTACATTCACTCGGTAGGTGACGAACAAGCTACATCCCTGAAAGCATGCTCACGTTCGCAGGCATTTGTTTCCATCGCAGCCATCCGCACCACCAAGGCCTTACGATTGGACTTCATTAAGAGCATTCTCCGGCAGAATATTGCATACTTCGACTCAGATGAAGCCGCTTCGGTCACGACACAGGCTACGACGAATGGAAACAACGTCAACAACGGCATATCCGAGAAGCTTACGTTGACCGTCCAGGGTGTATCGACCTTCGTCTCAGCATTCATCATTGCCTTCATCGTCCAATGGAAGCTTACCCTGATCACAATAAGCATCGTCCCAACGATCATGATAGTTGTCGGTGTCTCCATCGGCATTGATACCAAGAACGAGAACCAATTGCTACCGATATACTCCAAAGCCGGACAACTTGCGGAAGAGATTTTCTCGACTGTACGCACGGTTCATGCATTCTGGCTTCATCCATTGCTGTCCAGCAAGTATGACAAGCTTCTTGGCGATGCCCAGGAGGTTGGTATGAAGAAGTCCCCGAACTATGCCGTCATGTTCTCAGTCGAGTTCTTCTGCATCTATGCGGGCTATGGTCTGGCCTTCTGGCAAGGCATCCGCATGTGGGCCAGGGGCGAAGTCCAAGAGAGTGGTATGTGAAGCATCGACTTGGGTGGGGATAATTCTCCGACCTGCCCGACCTTTAACACTATGTACTAATCAATGGATAGGAGACGTGTTTACTGTCATTCTTGCTGTCATCGTCGCCGCGACAGCCATGACGACAATAGCACCTCAGATCATCTCTCTGACGAAGGCCTCTTCTTCTGCCGACGAGTTGTTCAAGACCATCGATCGGAAGTCCGAGATTGATCCCTTGAATGATGATGGCAAGGTGCCTAGCCTGTGCGAAGGTGTTGTCGAGATTCGAGACGTCAGCTTTGCCTATCCCGCTCGGCCCGACATCACAGTCTTGAAGAGCTTGACGCTATCTGCGCCTGCTGGAAAGACCACAGCCCTCGTAGGAGCATCAGGTAGCGGCAAATCGACAATCATCGGCTTGATAGAGCGATGGTATGATCAGGCTAGCGGCGCCATATACCTCGATGGTACAGACATACGAGAGCTCAACCTCACCTGGCTACGAACGAATATTCGTTTAGTACAGCAGGAACCAGTGCTGTTCTCCGGTACTGTCTACGAAAACGTCGCATTCGGCTTGTTCGGCACCGACAAGGCCAACTTGCCCGAGAGCGAGCAGCGAGCGCTCGTAGAGAAGGCCTGCAAGAACGCTTATGCCGAAGAGTTCATCGAGCGGCTGCCAAAGGTGAGTCATGTTGCTCCTCAGATACTCGTCATATGGATTGTTAACGTTGAATAGGGTTATGAGACGCAGTTGGGTGAGCGTGCCATGAACCTCTCGGGCGGTCAGAAGCAACGACTAGCCATCGCGCGCAGTATCGTCTCGGAGCCGACTGTCCTTCTCTTGGATGAAGCCACCAGCGCTTTGGACCCAAAGGCAGAGAAGATCGTACAGCAAGCACTTGAGCGTGTCTCTCAAGGTCGCACAACCATCGTCATCGCTCATAAGCTTTCCACCATTCGCAATGCCGACAACATCGCAGTCATGGCTGCTGGAATTGTCGTTGAACAAGGTTCACACGACGAGCTTCTCGCTGCTGGCGGTGCATACGCTCGTCTCGTCAGAGCTCAAGACCTCGGCCAAGCAGAGGGTGAAGACCAGGAAGACCAGGACTTTGCCGCAGAGAAGATTGATCTGGTACGGACGCAGACTCAAGCATCCGCTATTGGCCAAGAAGCGAAAGCTTCCGACAAAGACGGCATCAATTACAATCTGGTGAAGTGTGCCTGGATAGTCCTCAGGGAACAGGGTGCCCTTTGGAAGTGTTTTCTGATCTTGGGAATTGCAACACTCGCTGGAGGTAAGTTGTCGACTCATTTCTTGTTCGACTGTTACTGACCTACTACAGGAGCGACCTATCCGGCTCAAGCTATCCTATTCTCTCGCGTCGTCGAAGCTTTTCAATTGTCCTCCAAGAGGGCAGTAGAACAGGGCGACTTTTACTCCTTGATGTTCTTCATTGTCGCAATCGGCAATCTTGTTGTCTATGGTGCTGTTGGCTGGGCCAGCAACGTTGTCGCCCAGGTTGTCGCCAGGGTATACAGACGCGAGATCTTTGACCTCATCCTCAAGCAAGACATGGCATTCTTCGACGATCAAGACAATGCGAGCGGCGCGCTCGCCTCGAAACTTGGAGCCTACCCTGACGCTCTACGGGATCTCATGGGCTTCAACCTGATGCTCATCTTCATCAACATCGTGAACATCGTTTCTTCCTCGATTCTTGCCATCGTGGTTGGCTGGAAGCTCGGTCTTGTAGTTGTCTTTGGAGGTCAGTATCATTTCTCAGTTCTTTCTAGTAATCGACACTGACTTGGCGCAGCTATGCCTCCAATCGTGTTTTCTGGGTACCTCAGGATTCGACTTGAATTCAAGCTAGAAGATCTCACGGGCAAACGCTTCGCCAGCAGCGCTGCTCTCGCATCCGAAGCAGTCTCCGCCATTCGCACAGTCTCCAGTCTCGCGCTCGAAAGACACATCCTCGCCCGGTACGAAGATCGACTACAAGGTGTCGCAAGAGACGGTATCAAAGCTTTGGTGTGGACCATGTTCTGGTACGCACTGACGCAGTCCATCTCATTCTTGGCAATGGCCCTGGGCTTCTGGTACGGCGGCCGGCTGATTAGCACGGGAGAATACACGACTACCCAATTCTTCACGGTCTTCATCGGTGTCATTTTCTCTGGAGAAGCAGCTGCAGCCTTCTTCTCTTACACTACGAGTCTCACAAAGTCAGCCACTGCGGCCAACTACGTTTTTCGGTTGCGGGCAATGAAGCCTGCAGTGCAGGAAGACGCATCAAAGCCGCCATTTGACGACGAGAAGGACAAGAGTCCAGCGCACATTGAGGTGCAGGACCTTGCTTTTGCGTACAAGTCTCGGCCCCACGCCAAGGTCCTGGAAGGCATCGATATTGATGTGCGGCCCGGTCGGTTCATTGCTCTCGTCGGCGCTTCAGGCTGCGGGAAGTCAACAATGGTTTCGCTCTTGGAGAGGTTCTATGATCCCGTTACGGGGCGTATCAGCTGTGATGGCGCTCCGTTGATGGACCTCTGTCCACGCAAGTACCGTCGAGGTGTGTCTTTGGTCCAGCAAGAGCCAGTCTTGTATCAAGGCTCGGTCCGGGACAACATCGCCATGGGTGTTGAAGTCGACGTGACTGACGCTCAGGTCGAAGCCGCAGCCAAGCAGTCGAACATATCCGACTTCGTTGCATCTCTGCCAAACGGCTTCGCGACGATGTGCGGTAGTAGAGGCACGCAACTATCGGGTGGGCAGCGCCAGCGTATCGCCATCGCCAGAGCACTCATACGCGAGCCACGCCTACTGCTTCTTGATGAAGCTACTTCCGCATTAGATACTGAATCCGAGAGGGTAGTTCAGGCGGCGCTCGAGGAAGCGCAGAGTGGACGTACAACTGTCGCGGTGGCGCATCGTCTCAGTACTATCAAAGATGCGGACATGATCATGGTGTTCGCGAGGGGAAAGATTGTGGAAAGTGGCACACATCAAGAACTGCTTGACAAGAAGGGTGTGTACTACGAGATGTGCTTGGGCCAAAGTATGGATCGGGCGGTTCCGACATGACGTTCGAAGCACGGCTCATCATTTCCTCTTCATCTGCACTATGATCGTAAATAGAACCTTTGATAGACCTTGCGATACGTAATATACCCATCTTCAATATTCGACTTGAGGCTGCTGATGTCAATCTGGAAAACGTGCATCGTACGGTCGCCCGAGCATGAAATCTAGTTTGCCGACAGTTCGCGCCATCAAGCTATGACGTACTCCGTGAGTGACTTCAGGTCCCACCTGGTGCCACAAGGCAAGTGAGCACGCGACAGTAGATGATGCGCGAAATGGCCTGAGGAGACGAACGCGTTGATGCAGAAGTTCAGCGGAGAAGCGGTGGCCCGCGGCCGGATCATGCTAATGCCTCGCTTATCGACCAGGGTCTTGCGCCACTCTCGGGGGCATCGTTCCTTCTTCCTCACCTCCCGAGGCCAGCCGTTGTACGTGCCTCACCACCCCCGAGGATTGCGATACCGACCGCTGAAGTACCTGACGCGACTTTTCTTTGATGTTCTTCGTTGGCGGCTTTAGGTTTATCCCACCGTTGGATGAACGTCCGATGTACGCGTCTTTAGACAGCTCTGACGCGCGCTGGGCCCACGAAGCGCGTCATGGCTTTACTCTCGAGAACCACCGCCTTAACCCGCAAATTGCACGAAAAGACCGGCGTGTGGCTCTAACGACCCATATGCCGCCGCCGCGTGTGTGGAGGTGCTGAAGCACAACGCGATCCATCATCGTCAGGTCAAACCGCCAAGACGTCTCACGTATTCCCCGGGACCAATCGCAACCCGCGCAACCAAAGCTTCCTGGCCAGAGCATGTCTTAGCATCGCTCGTGTCAACAGTTTCATACTCCTTTCCTGACGATCGCACACTGTATACTGTGGCAGTAGGTGAGCCTTAGTTTCAAGGACAACATCGTTGGCCCAATAACAGAACAGCCGTTTCAATGGCATACTCCGCACCGCGCTGGGGATCAAGGTAGCTCCGAGCTGACCCACTGATTCGCGCTTTGGAGACGTTATGCGACTGAGGGTAATGACCCTGACGGCAAGCCCCCAAGCCGTCATCCCACATTGATAGCATTGGCGTCTCCATCTCCATTGCTTCACTTTCCTTTCCACTTCTTGACTGATGCGGATCATCGTTCCTTAGGAAGTCAGGTACTGTTTTCATTTCTCCGTCGACCGGATACATTCATTTTCGGTTCTTAGTCCTGGGGACATTGTTTACTTTACTATAGTTTGTTGATATTACTTGCGCGAGCGCAGTTCAGCGTACATTTACTTAATACCTTTCATCATATCTACCATGGCTCGCTATCAACTTCGACGACCATCGCCGGTCAAGATCTTCCCAAGACGCGTTCGTCGCGACGATCCTATCGCGAGTACGATGCCTGTCGCTGCGGGCGAGGAGGAGGAAGGCCCAGAGAGTCCAGACTCACCATTCAGCAGCCCATCTACAGTCGGCGGTGACATATCGGAGAGCGAGGACTCGGAATCCGAAGACGAGGAGGAGCCACCTTCGCCAGTACAGAGCGGTGCTACAGCGACATCCACGGGAAGGCCCGTCCAAACCCTCGGACCCGATCCAACTGCCGCTCCGTCAATGCCAACATCATCAGGAGAGAGTGATGCTACGACTACGTCTGTACCTTCATTCACCTTCGGCGGCCCTTCTGGTGGTAACAACGCAGCACAACCTCAGATCACTGGCGAAACCACCTTGTCTACCGCCGTTCGCCCTACCATAACGTCAACAATCGTCAAGGAAGTCATGCCAACAGGGAACCCGGAGCGATCTTCGATGCCTCCGATATCTCTTACTTCGCCGCCCCAAAACACAGCCGAGCCAGAACTTGACGGAAACGCCGGTCCCCAGAGGCTGCCACAACGAGAACAAGAGCCTATCATGACTAAAGAGGCCATGACTGCAGCAATTGTCCTTGGCGTACTTGGTCAGTCATCGTCATTGTCGCTGTTACAGATCGTTGCTAATTGTTGAATAGGTGCATTAGCGCTGTTAGTTGCCGGATTCGTCTTCATCAAGCGCCGGAAGCGGAGGCACAGTTACATTGACAAGGGTCCGCCGTTTGAGACGTTCAATCCATACGCGAACGATCACGTCCCACCCCCGGAGACTGCACATGTAGGCGACGCGTCTTCGATCTTCGCGCGCCTCAATGGCGGAAATGCTGGCGGAGCAACCGCTCATCTCACCCGCTCTACCGATCGCAGCAACACTCTTTTCGGTCCAGGTCCATACTCCCGCCCCGAAACCGTATCCACAGAACGCTCTACCCGTGTACCACCAACGCCAAATCCTTTCGCAGATCCACCTCTCAACAAAGCGTACGATGTGTTGAACAACAGGCCCAGAAGCACAACGCTCACGGATCGCGGAAGTTGGCAGCAAAATCCTTTCAAGAACCCCGAGAGCGAGCGATTCGATCCGTTCGGAGAGTTGAAGGAGAAGGCTAGGAGGGAGAGGTTACGGTATGTGGAAGACGCGAGACGAGAAGCTGAATTGAGGAAGCAGATGGAGCAGAAAGAAGCTATGGGACTTAGACCGGATGGTATACCGTGGAGCGGTGAGGCTGGGTATAGGTGATCGCTGAGATGAGTGGATTTGCACTTGATCGACTTTGAGATTTAACTTTAGCGAAGGCGAATCGTTTTCGCGACAACAATGGCACCTGTCAGATACCTCCCGCGTATACCTGGACGCCTTTGTACCATAGTCTGTCTTCGATGTAATAGCGTCCGATCGGTAATAATATCAAACAACATATCTTACGTCCAAGTCGCCGATGCGAAAGGTGACTGTCAGATCCAAGATGAAGAACCCATGTATGTTTGTCATTAAAACTAACCTTGAGCAAAGGAGACATCGCGTAAGGGCTACAGGGACGAAATCATTCAAGCTAAAACAGCAGATAAACATGATCTACGCACCTCATACCTCATGCAAGAAAACACAACTCACAAGATGTGCAAAATACACTAGGATAAAATGAGTAGAACTAGTCAGGCTTGTGGTCATACAGGCTCCATGGTGTTCGGTTTCCTTCTAGGCTGGTGTGTATGAATCTCAAGCCATCAGTCCATCACCACTACCATCCACCTACTTCCCACCCACCGCATCAGCCGGACCATCAAACTTCGGATCTCTCGCATTCAACCCCTCATCATACTCAATCTCGACCTCCCGCTCAATCCCATCTTCATCGACCATCAACGCGCAATTCCTCTTGATCAAATTCCACTCCTTCTCATCATACGTCGTAGGCTCCGACGCGATAATCGTATGCTTACCCATCGCACCAGGCACCCCAATCTCCCCACTCGCATCCGCACTCCCGCCATCCTTACTATCCGGGTCACCAGGGAACTTCGTATTGAGCGTGCGACCCGCAAACTCCGACCAATAGAGACTGGGTGGCTGCTGCGAGACGTGGTTGCGGAAGCGGATGGCGAGCATTTTCGTTCCGTCCGTGGTGCAGAAGTTGAGGGAATTGGGCGTGTTGGCTTCACCCAGTGTGCGTTTTTGCAAAGTGAGGATTTGAACGACGGTTTTCTGCATGGCTTCTAGCATCTTTTTGAGGGGGTAGGGTTTCTCCCAGGCGTCTTTGGTGCTGCTGTTGGTTAGGTTGGTCATGTAGAGGGCGGCTGCGTGTTCGGAGTCTGTGCTGCCGAGGACGTTGCAGTAGGCGTCGAAGGAGAGGAGGGAGGTCATTTCGCGGCGAATCGACGAGAAGTTTGAGATGACGCCGTTGTGCATGAAGACGTGGCGGCCGAATACGAAGGGGTGGCTGTTCACTTGCGTTACGACGGACCCGCTTGTGGCGCGGATGTGGGCGAAGACGCATTGCGATTCGGTGTTGTGGCACAGGGATTTGAAGTTGAAGTCGTTGATGGGTGGGGATTGGGACTTGTAGAGTGCGGGGCGGGGGCCTGTGACGTGCTTAACGTAGGATGAGGTCGCTGTGGTGTACCCTGGGTGAATGTGAGCAGTTGTCAACCGACTAGTTGTATCATCACGTTTCGCATTCGTAAAACTCCAAATCCTTGGAGATCACCTATGAAGGGTACACCCTAGTCAATGGAAAGACTGGACAGACGCCCTAAAGTCTACATTGCCCTACAAGCCGAGGGTTGTACACTAAAAAAGGCAATGTAGTCTTCATAGGCTGTCCTTTTACTAACGAAAAATTGTGCTTTGCGGACATAGGTGTCCGGTGCCCCCCTTGAACGAAGTGGGTGTGACCGCTATGAATATCGGTGCCGTGCCGCCATACAACAGGGAGCGTGTACGATGATCTAAGCAAGGAATGTAGTACGTACAAGCAATGCCAAGCCCGTCCATGTTCAGTAATGAGTTGCGCATACGCATCAGCTCATCTGGGGAGTCATCCAGATCCTTTTCCTCGTCATGTGGCAGTAGTTTCGGGAGATAGTGCTCAGAGCATTGTTTGCTGATGCTGTTGTCTGGCGTGATGAGGACGTCCGAGAGAAGGCATGGCTCCGTTGGGGAAATGTATGCGAACCACCGACACATGATGCTTAGTGCTCTCTGGCGCGTTCAATGTTGGTTTTGTTGAACACTTGAAACTCGCAGGATTGATGTAGGCTTTATATATACGCAAGCAAGGTTGCTCTGAATGTCCGCCCAAAGGGTCCGTTCTGAGATTGATGCAAGATGGGTCGCACAGCAGTCTTCGAGGCGCAATATAGGTGACGTGGAGCTTTGTTGTAGGCGCGATTTGTAACAAGAACACTCGGAGGCTTGTGAGGGCACGTATCACAGCTGTGCAACGCGAGTTGGAGAGGGATCTTGGAGTAAGGAGATGCTCGGTGATAACAAGTACTAGTTGAGGCTGCAGGGATGAGGAGGAAAGCGCGCGTGATGCCAGATGCGTGCAGAAATTGGACTCGAGATGCTGTTCAGGCTGCAAGAGGGACCTCGTGGCTGAGCTCGTGAGGCTGAGGTTCGTAAAGTGCAGGCGCAGCCAACGTATCATGGAGGGGCAGAAGGCAGGCGGCAGGTGCGGGGCAGATCACTGCTAAGCCCCAGCTCAAGCTGCGAATAACTGTATCACGAAGCAGCTCTTGACTTATCAATCTGCCCATTTTCGCTTTGAGCACCCGAAAATGAAGTCCAAAGATGAGCGAGATTGGGTGTTGGTAACGCGACTGCGTGGCTTGAGAAAAAGGCAAATATCCGTACTGCGACAAAACGAGCCTGGGATGTTGGTATACTGGATTCAGAAAGATGGTCTCTCCCACGGGAACTTCAACAATATCGTGTAGGTGGTAGTCTCAGGTATCGCCTACTTCGATAGAAAAAGGTCCAAGGATGTTCGATTGATGACTGGGATCATGTAAAAGCCGCACATCCTTCGGTTCCTGCGTTCAATTCCAGGGTCCGTTCAGGAGCATTGCGGAACGGCGGGAGTGAGAGTGGGTCTGGGTCGAAAATGGAGACCTTTCGTCTCCACAAGCTGTAGAGCGATAAGAAATGACTACGACGAAGGGTCTTTGTTCCGAAGCGTGACTCGCTCCAAATGGTGTAGGCGCAGAGGAGTGAACAGCACGATGGTCGAGAAATGTGCGTTATAATGCCGCGGAAAAGCTGTGATCGTCAGGATGGTGTTGCGGCACACCACCTAAAAGCGGCGGTAGTGATCTAGATGTGTGCATTGTAAGGCTTAGCGAAGAAGGAAAATGTACATGCAGCGGCACACAGCCTCGACGTATCGGCCACAGCGAGCCTGCGATCTGGAAGTGCATCGTCGATGGAGATATTTCGATAACAGTTGGCAGATCGGGTCGATAAGTTGTATGCTCTATAGGCCAAGACGTACGCCGCTGGACATCTCCAGCGCAAGGTGGTGCTGCCGAGGTGATAGATGTCGTCTTCCAGGGTCGTCGGCTGTACGCGCATCAATTGAGAGACATACGAGAATACCTTGTCCTGCTCAGTACATGCCTGTGAAGATGTATTGCGCGCTGTCGCTTCCTCTTTGGAGATTTGGCAGCAGAGGCAGGAGCGACGAACCGACGACGAGCCGGCGCCGGAGTCGGAGAGAAGATTACCAAGTTGCTGTCGTGACTTCCATTCTTCTCTTCACCTCCTGCTCATTGAAACCACCACAATATCATTATTTCGCATCTTAAACGACTTGGGCTCCAATACAGACACGACGCGATTGCCGCTCAGCCGACAATGGGGCAATGCCGAGAAGCCATTGCTTTTAGGCAGACAGCGACCGCGCGCTGATGCGAGAGGCTGAGCGCTATCACCTTCGAGGCTTGAGCAGTGAGAGTGTTCCACAGAATGTCTCCTGGGATTCGCTACTGCTGCGGATCTTCGAAGCTGTGCATGAGGCAACTTACCTGTAGGCAGATTCCACATTCCGACCCCAAGGCGCCGCGCTCTTTGCGACCACATTCAGACGACCAGCGCAAAACGCCGAAGCAGACCCCAAGATGGCTATCAGTTTCATGTCGCTCACGACTTCCATGGCAGACTGAGAAGGACCGACGAATGCCGCCTATTGTGCATTCAGAACTGTGTGCCGGCTGCAGCGTCCAGGGCACCCACGAGGGCCACCGGTACTTCTCACGCGCGATGCCGTCATTTGATTTGTACATGGCTCGGCTTCCCGCAATGCCAATCTCTCAACGTATCTAAGGCGGCGAACACGAATCAAGCACCGTGGCGTTCTTTCCTTGTTATCAGCCGAGAGCCGGTCCAGAGGCTTCGTTATGCGGCTCCCATGCTTGGAGCTGGCGGCATCAGACGACCTGTTTCTCACAAAAGATGCGAGCTGTCAGCCGCAAAGCGCCACGCCAGAAGCAATCGCGCCCGACCCCAGAAACCCACGAGCTTGGTGTGACAAATGGCCCGCTACCTGTTGTTCGCATCGCCATGCTCGCATGCAGCCACTCGCCAGCACCGGAGGCCCGCCACGCTGGATTACGTTCCCTTAACTGTCTTTGAACGGCGAGGGACCTGGGCCCTGGTCGCCCACCCCAGTGCTTAACCCAGGCGCGCTTGCCCATGGGCGAACAAGGTGTTTCCGCTGCGTCGCTGAGCCAGGCTTGGCCAGGCCGGCGCAGTAGGGTGGTGCCGTCGACGCCGCTACTGAGGGAAGGCGCATCTCCATTCGCGTGCGACAAAACGAGCGGGGTCGCTACGCAGCAGTGCAGCCGGGGTGGGTTGAAAACTCTGTACCGTCGAATCCCATGCCCAGAATTGCGGTACATGGACTACGCCCCAGGGCGTTAGTCGTCGCCGGTCGCCTAGCGCCCCACCAAACCTCTTTGGACTCGTAGTGGCATCGCAGCGCTCACCACCGAGAGGATCCACAGACAGGGCACACTGGGTGTGCCGCGCCTGTCCTCCGTATAAGTACCGCGCCCTTCACCCCCAGGGTCCTGGCTCCGACCAAGGGCAATCTCACTTCCTCTACCAAGTTGTAGCCTTCCTTCCGTTCACTGGCTTCCAGTGCAACTCATTTTGTCGTAGCTTTTGCTGCTCCCCCACGCGACTAATAGTCGATCCCTCCCCCAAGCGTCGACTCCAGAGCGACAAACCCCATACCAAAG